TCTCGTCCGGGAAAGTCCGTTCTTTTTTTCTTTCTCTTCTACCGATACAATTTCACGTAGACGTAATTTTGCGCGTAATCGTTCGCGACATCGAGTCGACGCGCGTCTCGTATCGCGTCGTTCCTCTCGAACCGCGAGGAATTCGCTGCGAAAGCGTTCACGAACGTGTTCCGAATTCTCGTGATCTTTAGCTTTAGGGAAACGTCCCGTACTCGTTGACTCTCTGTGTCCGCGTAACGTAACCGTGTAGACCTTTCGTCTCGGAATTCGGGACGTCGGAGGACTGGCGGCAGTTTTCGAGAGAACGCCAATTTACCCCTTTGTCCTTCCTTCGCTTTTCCCGAGTTTCGAGTTACTTGTAAATAAACCGAACCGAAACGAATCGTCGTCATCGTCGCGCGCGATTCGCGCGTACTCGAATAAAAAGTGAAAGCGCGTCGAAGACGGAAAAAGAAATTCGTGCATAGCTGTAACATATACCACGATAGTATTGAATTCGTCTTTTCTCGAGACGACCGACTTTGTACATAAAATCTTTTACCGGTAGCGATCAGTAGCGTTAACGTCGCCCTATTCACGATGTAGCACCGATACGAATAAACGAGTTTTCATTAACGCGTCGTCTTCTGTGTGTTCCTTCACCGTTCCTTTAGCCGCGCGTCTGACCGTTGGCGTTTTCGAAACGCCTGATTCAACGAAGACGATTCGTTCGCAGCCGCACTGGAAGGAGGTAGGTTGGTCGGTAAGTAGGTAGATCTCTTTCGGTCGAACGATCCGGGGGACTGGGTTCTCCGATGTTTCCCGAGGCACGACGGGCTGCTGCCGCCGCTGCTCGTCGAGTGGCTCGTCACGCCAGCCAGGCTTCATCGCGCCTCCAACTGCCGTGTAATTCTGTTATACCTATCTGAAATTAAATAAATTCGTTTCACGGCCTGTCAACGAGCAATTACTTTTAGACGCAGCCGCTTTAAGGCCGGTTCGTTCCATGACTAACGTCTCGCGACCCCTCGAACGAACCCGCCGGCCTGCCACGCCGCACCGCACCGCGTATTTTGCGTCGTCCGCAGTTCGCTCGAGAACGAAAAGAGGAAAAGCGAATTTCGACGCCGGTATCGTGCACCGGACCGCGTTCGTATCAACGCGTTTAAGTAGGAAGACAAAACGAAAGGAAGAAGAGCAAGTAATAGTAGTAGAAAGAGAAGAAGAAGAAGAAGAAGAAGGTTTCACCGGGGCGCGAAAGCGATCGTGTGTTACGTCGTGATGGGTGGAGCGAGGTGAGAGAAACAGAGAGGCGGCTCCCGAGCTTGTAATTATGTTGATACGAATGATCTGCGGCTCGCCGCAAACCGACGAAGAGAAGAGAGAAGCGAAAAGAAGAAATAGAAGCGAACGAGAAGAGGAAGAAGAAGAAGGGGGAGGAAGGAGAAGAAGAGAGACGGAGACACGAGGCCTCTAGCGGTGTTCACCGGCTGCTCCGTAACGTGGCCGTTTATCCTGTTCCTTGTTCTTCCGAAGCTTCCCTCTTCCCTGCCTCGTTCCTCGAACCGCACGGACGCGTTCCCTCCGCGTAGTACCGACTATACGCGTTGCTCATCCCCACGCAACGAGTAAACGGGCTTTAGGACCGTGGCGAAACCAGTTTAAGTGGTTAAACGTAGATGTAATTGATTTCCATTTTACGAGGCTCTCGAGAAGACGCTCCACCCGCCACTGCCATCACCACCGGCACCGCCGCCTCCGTACTCTCCGTATCGCGACTCCTCGCGGATCTTCGAAAGCGTCGCGACGAGCGCGTCGGAATCGGGTTCTCACGCCTCGTTCCGCTCCGAGTTCTCGACGAAACGGAAGCGCCGTGTACTCGATCCACGGTCCGTTCTTCGACGTCGACTCGATTCCCAGCGTTCCGGATAGTCGTCGCTTTTCGGATCGTAATTCGGCACGGCGCAGCTTCGCTCCGCGCCAAGATCACGGACGCGGCGTGACGGATTGGACGAATGAATAATTAACGAGTCACGGGTGCACGAATTCGAGCCAAGAATCGAGAGGTGGAAAGGATTTTAATGAAATACAGCGACAGATGTCCGTCACTCGTAACTCTAGTTCGAATCTTTCGTTCGTTTCTCGCGATTTCTCCCTCTCTTACGAACGATCGTATTTGCCTGCGGGAACGCGAACAGAATCGATTTCGTCAACTTTCTCGTGACCGCTTTTAGCTTTAAAACTTTAATCGCCATCGAACGTTTCTAAAAGCGGCGATGTCTAACGATCGCGACTACCGCGGAAACCAGCGAATATTCTCTAAACGGGGTCTCGTCGCGTGTTCGAGCAGCAGCGACGATCGAAAGGCGGAATTCGAAGGCCCCCGAAAGACTTTCGAGGGGCAACGGTGGGCGTCTCGTTCCGGCGGGAAAACGCGAAAAAATTGGCGGCAGCAGTCGTCGCACGGTAGTCGATCGAGCAGCTGCGGCAGAGGCGGGGGAGGAAATTCCAAGGGGCGAGTGGACGTTCCGCGCCACACCGCGTCGCGAACCAACAACCGGAAGAAAAAGAAAAGGGCGTTCGTGGCGCGCGGAGAACGAGACGGACGGAGACAGAGAAAGGGAGAGAGTCGTCGGAGAATATGTAAATTAGGAACTCTGTGTGAATGCGGAGATTTATGGCAGCCCGTACACGTTTCTGGCCGCAATAAATATCAGTAAGTAGCGAGACGCGGGACCGTCCGGATCGAGGCTGAGTCGACGCTCTTCCCAACGAACGAGCTCGCCACCGCGCGTACGCCGCTAAGCGTCCTTGCCACCCTCCGATATTCTCTCGTTCTTTCTCCCGTTTTTTTAACCCGTAAGGCAACGCCTCACTCTTATCACCTATTGAACGAACTGTTGACAGCTTGAACAGACATAGTCGCGAAAACAGGCATATTCACGATAGAACATTGAGTCGAATCTTTGAATTAAGCGTTCGAAATGTCGTCGAACTTAAACGATAACGATTTCGATACGCTATATAAACTGCAAATTCGTCGTGTCTTATTCCGTTGCGCAAGCCGTGGATCGAAACTATTCGGATTTTTTTTTATCGACGAATC